AGGTTCCCTTGAGAAAGGGAGCACGGCCCCGGTCGTAGGGAGCTGCTCTCAAAAATGTCTCCGTAGGAACCTGGAAGCCAGAGTGAAGGGCGAGAAGTGGAATTAGTTTGTACAATCCCTTTTGGGATGTCCTTCCCACTGCCAACCTGGAAAATTCAAAACGCATGGGACACGCTCAGCTGCTGCTGCCTAAAGTAAAAGACTTCCTAGTGAAATAACAAATGCTTTTTGATTTTTGGCACAATTCATGTAGCAGCTCCAAAGACAGATGTCTAGACCCTGACATGTTAGCTGTCAAATGAGACTAAACAGTCCTTGGCACTAATTTGTTTTAGGAAGCTCCTCCCCCATCCCCACGTGGTTGTGAAACCTTTCCTGAACCTCGGAGGTGGAAGGAACATGCCCTTCCTGTTCACTGCAACTTGAAATCCAGAGGAGACACAAATGATAATGTTTTCATGTTTCTATTGTTTCAGTAAAAGCTGTAGGAATAAAAGAATTGAATCGAAAATGCCCCCATTTGGTGCCAGAAGACGATGAAAGACAGCAGCGCTGTGTATATTCCACCACCACCACCGTGGGGGAGACTGGCTCGTTCGCCAAATCATCCCCTTTCCTTCCTGGATGACATTTCTCACACTCTCTTGCACTTAGGAGGGCCACATAAACGAGGTCTGGCGAACAAATGTGGAGAAATGTGATGTGAGCTATTTGTAGGCCTGATAGAATTAATAATAATAATAATAAAAATAAATAAATGCACTCCTGGTCTTTCCTGCTTGCTCCCTTCCCTCAACTTCTAGCCCAGGAAGGAGAAACCATGGAAGACTATGAGGCCTCTGATGATGGGAGAGCCACTGGCTAGATGGAACTTGAGCACCTCAAGACTGTCTGGAACAGAGCACTCCCACCCTCTTCACCCTGCACAGTCTACACTAGACTGGACAGTGAGGGAGAAATCAACCTGTGAGAGGTTAAGCCACTGACATTTAGGAGAAATCTGTTACAGCAGTTAGCCTTCCCTAACTGATACAACTTTCTTCAGGAAATTGAAGGGAGAGCCAAACACTGCGTTTCACAAGCAAATGAGGAGTTCTGGGGTCTATGTCCCCAGGCTGCCTTTTTCTTATGGAAAGATTGATTTTGTGAAATAATTCACAAAAAGAGAGAGTGATAGACTTAATTATGCAAAAGAGATGTAGTATATTTATACAATGGAATACTATTCGGCCATAAAAATGACAACATAACGCCATTTGCAGTAACATGGATGTTCCTGGAGATTGTCATTCTAAGTGAAGTAAGCCAGAAAGAGAAATTGAAAAATAAACCATATGAGATCACTCATATGTGGAATCTAAAAAAAAAAAACATAAATACAAAACAGAAACAGACTCATAGACATAGAATATAAACTTGTGGTTGCCAAGGGGGTGGGGGTGGGAAGGGACAGACTGGGATTTCAAAATGTAGAATAGGGGGTGGGGGTGGGAAGGGACAGACTGGGATTTCAAAATGTAGAATAGATAAACAAGATTATACTGTATAGCACAGGGAAATAGATGCAAGATCTTATGGTAGCTCACAGTGAAAAAAAATATGACAGTGAATATATGTATGTTCATGTATCAACTGAAAAATTGTGCTCTACATTGGAATTTGACACAACATTGTAAAAAAAAAATTCCAGATACCCCAAAAGGGAAAAAAAATGCAAGGGATAATGATATCAGTGGCAAACAATGTGGATAAAGGGTTAATGTCTTCACTATAGGAAGAGTTCCTAAGAATCAATTTTAAAAATGCTAGCAGACAAAAATAGCCAATGACATAAATGACAGTCAATGGGGGACATTCAGCTGATTAACAGAAAAATGGAAAAATACTGGTGAGAAAGAAAGGCAAATTAAAATAATAAATACAATTTTGTTTTTTAAATAAGCCAAAATGCAGACCCAGTGATTTGCAATAGCAATGAGATTAAAGTCACATGGACAGTACAGTGAAATATGGCACTATGGCTTATGCAGCAGAAGCTAATACATCCCATATGGAACCCGAAATGACCACACCTCCATATTCTTGGAAAGGTTCATAATTTTGGGCCCACTTTCCTCAACTGGATTTATAACTGGCTTTCTAACATTGTGTGAATCTGTTCATAATTTAAAATACAAAAACAGTACATAAAAGAGGTTCCTGAAATCATAAGTTATTACATCAATTAAAAAAATGGAAACAACTCAGTTGTCCCAGCATTGGGCTGTAAACTGTGACTATGCATCTGGAATACTACATGGCCCTTAATAATAATGGAAAAGAACTGAAGAATGGAAGTTAAACGAATTACATAAAGGTGCACAGACAGAATGATTGTAACTATCTTTCAAAACTCTTGCAAAGGAAAGGAAATGAAATGTAGTCGAAGACTGATGTATTTTGGTGGAAAGGATAAGTCTAGCTTTATCCCCTTTTTTCCTCTTTCCAGCATTTTCCAAATAATATTTGACAAGCATGTACTATGATGATAGTAAGGCAAAAATTCATAAAAATTAACTGAAAACGTAAATGCAATACCAGTTTAAAAAAAATACTTCACCTGTCATTCCTGGGTCTTTGGATCCACTTTTTAAAGTTGAATGCCAAGTTCCCCAGATATTGAAAGCCTCCTCTGCCATATCTAGGACAAAGTGTATAAAAAAGGTATGTAATTATTGACACAACATTGAAAACCGACTCTACTTCAATAAAAAAGAATGCAAATTTTTAAAAAAGGCATCTAACTCACAATGAAAATTGAAGAGCAAAAAATGAATAAACAAATTTTTTCCTAACATCTCTTGTGCTCAAAGTCCTGTATTTGAGACTGTGATGGATACAAGACAGAATACGAAGCAGACCTGTCTTTTTAAGAGGCTTATTCCATTTGGGATTTACAAAAAGGCTCTTTCTATAGTATGCTGTGGTAGACAGAATAAGGATCCCCCCAAATATCTGTGTCATGATCCCCAGAACCTCTAAAGATGTTATATTCAAAAGGCACTTGGCAGGTGCGATTACGTTATGGATTCTGAGATGGGGAGATGAACCTGGGTTATCTGTGTGAGCCCCATGGAATCACAAGAGTCCTTATAAGAAGGAGGCAAGACAGAGGATGCTGCATTGCTGGCTTTAAAGATGGAGGAAGGGGCCATGCACCAAAGAATGCAGGCGGCGTCTAGAAGTGGGAAAAGGCAAGAAAACATTGTTCCCTAGAGTCTCCAGAAGGAGCACAGGCCTGTGGGCCCATTTTAGACTTATGACGCCCAGAGCTGAAAGATAATAGATTTGTGTGTTGTTTTAAAGTACCAAGTTTGTGGTCATTTATTACGGTGGCGATAGGAAACAAGTACTATTGTGATGGGTGACAACAGCTCCAACCGCATTAACACAGAGATAGAAGAACAATAGTTATAGTTTTAAAATCTAGTACTACCCTCAGGAACACACCCTACTAGCCTCAATAGAGTCCTCCCGGTATTATTCATACATGTATTTTCCCATACATCCCTTTAGTCTGTCTGTAAATATCTCCAGTATGAGGCGCTATACTAGGCATTTTCACTGTCTCATCTAATCCTCACTACGATTCCATGATGTGATGATAATGACTATTTCTAGAAGCAAATGTCTGCTGGGTTCAGCAGTTCATATGCATTCTCTCAGTTCATCCTGAAGAGATGCCCCTGAGTCTGTTTGACAGATGAGGCAAATCCTTCAATCTTTTAAAAATAAATTTTTTGCCTTTAATATTTTAAAAATAAATCTTATGCCTGATGGGAACATGGGTTACTGGTTTCATTGTAAGTTACAAACATTTTTAACACAAATATTTGTGAAATAACAATAAAGATGCTAGGATTAAAAACACCAGAAAAAATAGGAGCCCTTCCAGAGTGGCTCTTCAGACTAAACTATAAATTTGAGATAAAATAGCAAGATTTTGTACTGTGTCTTTCAGTTCTTACTTAAACAGTGTCCTTCTGAGTCCTGACCCTGAGGAAGTACTTTGTGGAGGGGAGAACAGAACCACTCAGTGGTCAAATAAATTTGGGAAAAGCTGCAAAGCATAGCCTCCCTCCCATTGTGGAAATTCATGTGCCCAATAGCACTTTAAAGGGTTTGAGAAATTGTACAGTAGAGAAACCGTTAGCTTGCTTACTTCAGCATTTCCCAAATGTATTTGACCATGAAAACGTTATGTTGCCTAAAACTGGTCATCTCCCGTGGAGATCTCTTTGGAACATGCTGTCTGTAAGTTCAGCTTGTTCTCTTTATAAAAGTAACACAAATAATTGGGTGACATCTTAGACTAACAAATATGCACCCCAAACCCCAGGCCAGGACACGTAAAGTCCCTTGGATGCTGGCGGGCAAGTCAGGTGGGAAGGTCGGTGGCTTTCCGAGCATGAGACTGCTTCCCAGACAGCCGGGTCTGCAGGGACTCAGACCCGGCGTGGGTGTTCGGCAGGTCCTCAGTAAATGCCACCGAATCAGAGAAGCAGGAAACAAGGGAGAGAGGGAGAGAAGGCCCAAAGCGCCCACACCAGGCCACATGCAGTCAGAGTCCCTGGGTGGGCCAGCGCCAGCCCGGCTCCAGGTACCTTTCCCAAGTCTTGATCCAGGAGAACTCTCCCTTGACTTTGAAGATGGCAGGTGGCCCACCAGCACATACTGCTCCGGCCCTTTGTAAAGCTTCTCCGAGCCCCCCGGGGCCGCATCCTCTTGCATAGCCAGCAGGGAGCGTTCAGACAGCACTGGGGAGTTGTTGTCATAAGGGGAGAGGTCTCCGCTGGAGGCCTTGTTGGAGTCTGTGGACGAGTGCCTTCCTCCCATGGAAAAGGAAACTTCCGACCTCAGCATGTCAGGGCTTCTAGCACAAGGAGAGAATTACAGGAGCGTGAGTGTGTTAACAGGGAGTGAGCAGACTGAAACAACCTGATGGTTTCACAAATGACAGGAGGAGAGTGAATGGACACGGGCTGAAACAGAAAGACCTTCTGAACAATGGTCCAAGACGTCTGTCAAGAAGGTGAAAGCGTTTCCATAAAATGGCCAGCAGATGGCAGTAAAACCCAACAGATGTTACAGGAAACAGCAAGGCGAAGTGGGGCAGGGGAGATTGAAACAGTGGATCCCTGTGTTCGCCAAGGTGCACCGCTGAAATGCCTGTTGGATTAATCCCTGTCTCCGTTTTTAAAGTAAAGTCTGATGCTCGCTATCTGTTAAGTAAGGAAAACCTGTAGATAACTCTTTGACTTTCCTCAATATCCTGAAGTAAAAATAATTCAGATAAAACTATGATTGAAACTTTACATGCAGTTCATTATGGCTTTATGGACACTTTTTCTCCCCCCACCCAAGTGCTTAGCGTAAGTAAATCCACCCTTCCTGTGATGACGACGTCGGCAACGATGCTGATGTTGATGAGGATGGTGAGGATGGTGAGGATGGTGGAAACAGTTGTTTCACGTATAAAATGATAAATATATGACCATCACTAGAGTCCAATGTATTTAAATACATCTGAAAGGATTCTACAAGGCACTAGTGCTTTTACAAATTGATATCAAGCACCCTAGTAAGCATATCCATTAAGTTTTATAGGTGTATAAATTGTCATAGCAACAGAAATAACAGTGAAAATGTGAGCAGAACAGGACAAATGGGAACATCAGGAACATGACAAGAGTGTTCCAAGTCTTACCTGGGGACATCTGTTTTTTCTACCTTCCTCAAAAAGGTGGCCCTGACAACATCTTAAAGGGAAATGATCACAGATTGATTAAAAGTTCCAAAACCTGCTTCTGTTCCCCCTCCCCACCCCGCCCCTTCACTTCTCTTTACTGGTCTTTGCTTTCTTTTGGTTTACTTTTTCAAAACAAATCCTTTGTGATCTTAAAGAAAGTAAACACATGCTTGAGCAATTCTTTCCTAACCAAAGGGTTCTGTGCGTGCAACACAGGGGAAGTGCACTCACAGGGGGTCTAGCTTCACCTGGGGTTTCCAGCAGGGGGCAGCGTCCCAGGCAAGCATTTCAGCATCAGTGACCTGCTTCGCCTGCCACCGAGGCAGCCAGGGGCCCAAATATGTTTTGCTGAGGGAATTTCTCACCCACATGGAATAAATAAATCCTTTCCTTCCCTCCTTTTTAAACCGATGACTGATAGTCTTATGGGAAAAAGTCAGAGGACAACCAAGAGGATGGTTTTCCAGAAACTTCAGGCCTCCGGTGAATGCAGGGAAAATACAAGGAACGTACTACTACTTCTGGAAAGTGGGAAAAAGTGATTTAACCCCCATATCTAATTAAAAGGGGACACCCTCCCTAAATCAAGTGAAGGGAACACAAAACAAAACACATGGACATTTGTCGGTCGTCATGGAGTTTGACTCTGGTTGAGGAAACTTTACTATGAAAATAGGAAAATACAAATGAGTTGAACTTGCAGCCACACAGAGCTCAGCTCAGAATCAGGGCTCTCTATCCTGCCCAGGGCTAGACATCAGATTGCTGGGCTAATTTCAGTTGTTTCCCATTTAGCTGACACTTTTCCATTCATTAATGAAAAGTGTCTTCTGTCTACTGGGCAAGAGGAAGTCATCGTGATATATCACTAGCAGTGGGTACACAAAGCCTTATTTTATGGGATGTTTTAAGGAGAGTCAAGTCAACTTATTTGCCAAAACAAAATAACTATCAGGGCTTCGAATGCTTTTTCGGCCCCCTTACAACAGGAGGAAAGTTTTGGAAAGGTCATACCGTAGGGCATGGAGACCACAATAGTTCTGTCTCATATCTTGCTTATCTGTCACACAAAACACATCAAATATATCCAACAAAACATTACAAGTTCCAGATTCAGCCAACAGTTATGTGCATAAAGAAAGATACCTCATGGTGGGAGGTATAGCAGCTCAGTGGTAGAGCACGTGCTGAGCATGCACACAAGGTCTGGGTTCAATCCCCAGTACCTCCACTAAAAAAAAATAGATAAACCTAAGAAAGATGCCTCATGGAAGAAATTTCTCGAACATCTCAGTACTAGGGACATTTGTGTTTCTCTCAAGCAAAGCAGGTTATTTTTACCTACTTGGAGGTAAAAATTATTTCTCTACATGGAACCTTGTGTCAGGGAATAAAGAAAGTACCTGTCTTTGCAGTGACTGCTACAAGGCTCCGAGGAGCTGGGGCTCTAGTCGAGCTGGAGTATTAGAGCTGGTGGTACGCCTTAGTGTGTTCACAGCACAACTTCATTTTACCTCATCACTCCACTTTCCCTGGTCTTTCAAATTAGTTACTAGGATATTGCTCCACTTTACATATTTCTGCAAGCTGCTTCAATAAAGTGTTTTTGGACAGGGAAATCACGCCCACATTGTTGGGAGTACTGAAAAGGCAGCATGCTTCATGAGAGCATTTAGTTTGGTTAAAACAAAACAAAACAAAACAGAGAACAAGAATAGCGATAATAAAAATAACTGAAACTAACTCTTTAAACTTATGGTTACCAGTGGGGAAAGGGGGTGGGAAGGGATAAATTGGGAAGGGATATCGAGCTTTGCAGATATACACTACTACATATAAAACAGACAACAAGGTCCTGCTGTGTAGCACAGGGAACTATAGTCAATATCTTATAGTCACCTATAATGAAAAAGAATATGAAAACAAATAATATGTATGTATATGTATGACTGAACTATTATGTTGTACACCAGAAATTGACACAACATTGTAAACTGACTATACTTCAATAAAAAAATGAAATAAAATAAAAATTTTAGCACCCACCCCCCCGCCAAAACTGAAGCTGCCACACTATTTTCCCTCCATTTTCTTGGTTGTGATTGGATCTGATCAAGCAGACATGAACAAGGAGGAGGTGGAGGGCCACCGTCCCCTTCCTCTGTTCTTTGGGTTGACTCTGTAAAACCTCACTCAGTGATTCTGACGCAGCGGCATTGGCATCACCTGGGAAATGGATCACTTGTTGGAAATGCAAATTCTCAAGCTCCATCCTGGACCCACTGACAGGACTGGTTATCATATGCGGGATCCGGGGCAAAATGAAACTGAAAAATGATTAGAATTTCAAGATGGTGACAGCAGATCATTAAGCCAAATGTGCGCTTCTTCTGAGTACCAGGTTTGGCCCATGAAGCTGGCTTGGCCGACTGAAAGGGAACCTTTGCGGTCAGGGCTTTAAAAGCCCCCCAGGTAATTTTGATGCTTGGGGAAGCCTGAGAACCTCCCATACCAAACCTACCTGCCCTCCATCTACCCATAGATGAGGCTAAGGATCTACTAAGTCAAATCGGGAGAAAAACCCCAGATAGTCGCCAAAACCTCAGCCCTGGCTGGCAGTGGGGGTAAATGTGGCAGTCCTGACTTTGAGGTGGCAGGATCCAGATAACCGAATGTGCTTTGGTTATGGACCAGAATATGTTTAGGTGAGAGGGGGGCGGGAGAGACCAATCTGCCTTTCTCTGCTTTTATGTCATTCTCCACACTCAGGCCCCCAAAGTCACCACAGCTGTGGCCCCACTCAGGGGAGAAACTGGAGGAGCTGGTGAAAGCTAATCCCTGGAGGTAGAGGTGAGTGAGGCAGACCCAGGCCGTGAGTCTCACAGTCAGGGGCACGGGCAGATGGGGCCACCCAACAAGAGGTGATGCCTTTCTTCCCAGCCAGCGTATCTTGGCCACGGAAGGGGGTACAGATTGAGTATACATGGCAAACAGCTTGTGACACACACTTACGTGACATAACCCCTTGGCCTGTGAGAGGCACAAAAATGGATATTTATGCAGAGTTCATTGTGTGGCAGGCACTGTACTAAGCTAGCGCTAATAACCCTTCTTGTTTCTGATCACCGTCTAGGAAGAAACGATGAAGCAGATGAAATAAGGTGTCTCTCCAGCAGTACAGGCAGAAGGGGTCGAGACTCCTAAAGCGTATTTGGTAACTACTACTCAGTATTATTAAAACTCAATAGTAAAGTGCTTTCTCTTAGACTTTGAGTTGATGGCTCTTTTATATGTTAAAAGTATTTCCTATTTATTATTTTATTTTCTCAGCAGAGGTCAGTAAGGTGGTGGCCAAATTTGCCTAAGAACCTATGCTTAAGAGAGTCTTTCCACGTGACACCCCACCAGTTAATAAACAAAATAAGACTACTTTATTCACTCCTCAGAACTCTCATTACAACATAGGCAGTTCAGAGTTTAAAAAAATGTTAGTGTCATTCTATTGCTTTATCATTAAATCAACTGGAAACAAATCCAGGACCCCCTTCCTCCCTAGGGTATCTCTGAAAGAATGAGATGAGTAGCCACCAATGTCTTCTCTAAGATTTGCCTCTAAGATGATTCAACTCTACGAAGACAATTTTAAGTTCAGCACTTCAAGTAAAGGCAATAAATAGTCATGTACTTATTTATATAAAATATTTAACCAGTGATTGACCGGACGAGAACTATAGTTCAGAAGCACACAGTGGCTTCTCTGTCTGTGTGTTGGAATTTCATGGATGGAGGATGGGAGCGCTGAGCAGATACCCTGCCAGTTGACACGGATTTGCCTCCATGGATGGAGAGCTTCCCCAGGAGACCTGAAAGTCCCAGGACCGTCCACAGCATGCATGGCCAGTCTCAGCTAACCAGGTACGCATGAGATGGACATGGAGAGCGAATGGCTTTCTCACCCTTAGCCGGTCCCTCCAGGTCAGGGTGTAAACACGCTGGCAGGGTACTGTGGGCAGGCCTGCACCGCAGCCGGAGGCACAGAACTCTTTCTGCGGATAAACGGAAAACTCCGGTTCAATCACTGGATGTGGCCAGCCCAGCCCCTCACTGAGCTACTCCAGTGAGAA